TGAAAGGGCTTTCAGGTGCGCCCCAAACAGGAATGCAGTCCTTCAAGTCTCTTAAGCCACATGTCTAATGGAAGCACTCTTTAAATAAAATATAATTAAATTAAAAAAGGTGACTGTGTGTGGGGAATCTTCCTAAGGCACCCAAGAATTTTTTAAAAAAACACTTTTCCCACTCATATTTCTTACAGGACACTCTTGTTCCTCTTCTCTCCAAAGCTAAAAATGTTGGCTAGTTAGGAACCTTAGCGTACATGATGATATAGCTGAGTATCATTTAAAAAAACAGAGCAAAAAGAAAACCCTTGGTGAACGTAAAGCACTATGTCCAGACAGCCTAGGTTTCGCTAGCTACGCAAATACATCACGGACAACACGTAGAAATAGTCACGTTAATGCCGAGGTTTCCATTGTCAGCAAAAAGGTGTGCTATAGCCGTATCAAAAACTAGGCAGTCGCTGTTCAGGATGGCTGCGGACACCCCGTCGTGGATGGAGCGGGGCGTTGCCTCCCAGGTCAGCCGTCGGCGGTTGCCGTTCAGCTCCAGTCTGTACGCAAAGTTCTCTGCTTGCTTACGGGTGCCGATGAGCAGCACGATGGCAAAAAACTGCTGGTGACCTTCATATTTCTCTTGTTTCTCCAGCACCAGCATAAAGTGGTGACCGAAGCACGACTGCATCATCACCCAGTCAACCGCCCCTGGAAGGTTAATGTCTGTGGCAAGAAAAACAATGTCTTCTCCCTGAAGGGTGGTAATGCTTTTGTGGGCATGCATAAGGTGGGACATCACGGCTTCCAAGGATCCCTGCCACTTACAGGAGGCACCGGGGCATGGGCAGGAGTAGGGACGGTACTCACAGATGTCTTCGTGTTCTGGCTTTTCTGTGTGATGGAGTGTCAGAGAGCAGCCTGTTGTTGCGTACTGGAAAAAGACCAAATACAAGCCATCAGGAAACGCACCAGCACTAGTGTTCCCTGCTCCCACCTCTCAACTGGAAACACTGGTGATCAACCAGCACTCTTGTTCTCATTGCAGATTTTACGTTAGATACTTCTGTTTAGCCCTGGATTCAGAGCTGAGCTCTACTTATTTATGTTTCCACTTAAACATGGATTCTTCTTGTCTTTTTTGGTTGTGTTTTTCCTAATGCAAGCGCTTAGATAAAATGGATTGTCAGGCTGAGTTGTAGTTAGATTTGCTGTTGTAGTTAGACCTGATTGGTCCAGATCAGCTGAAGTGGTCCTGGTTTCAACACTGCAGTTTTGACAATTGAAAAAAGAGAGAAGACAATTTTTCACTGAGCATAAAGCCAGCGCACAGATAAGTACCATCTAACTTCTCTTAATGTCATTGGGCAACTTAGAGGGTTAATTTGCTTTAAACAACTGGGGATGCTTTTCCTTTTTCTCCAGTCAGTTCAGTTGTCCCTACTGACCATATTGCTTTCACGCTACCTCTGCAGAGAAAACAAGTCTCTCCTATTCTCACCAAGAGCACAGGCCCCTCGGTCTGTAGGTATCTGTTGCGATACCAACACCACGGCTAACACTATCACCCAGGTTACAACACGCGTGCTTGGCTGCTTATGGACACTATGACACTGCCTCGAGGACAGATATGAGAGGTATAAATGATTATTTCTGGGCTAATATGTGTGCAAGAAGTTTCAGTTCAAAGGGTTACATGCCCCAAGATGCAAATCATCCATGCTGTGAACACGACAGTAAGAATACTGGGACAGAAACTCGACCTTATGCTTCTGGAGGAGCTTGTTTTATAAGCCATAAAGAGTTAACGTGAGCCTTCACTTAACTGTGTCTGCCCCTGCCGCTTAATCCTCTGCTAACAGCTTTATCACAGGGCGCTGCAGTGGAACAACGCTTCCTCCTGCCAAAGGCAGAAGCCCCATTGCGGCAAATGCACGGCCGGCCATGCCAGCTGCCCTGCTGCACAGTGCAGCGACCCAGGAACGTGTTCGCTTCCAGCCCCGCCGACCTGCTGGTGTTTCCCATGTTCATACCCTGGTTAACACTTCCATCATGCAGTGTGTTGAAGAGCAGCTCCGACTTTAACCTCACTAACAAAAATAGTAAGAATATACAAGCTGCTGGTTGGGCAAAACCAGACATCTTCATGAAAGCAAGCAGTGGCGATTATAGAAGCGAGAGTGTAAAAGCAAGACGAGCAGAGTGGTGGCTTTGCCCTTCTCTGTGAGAAGCACCTGCTTTTGTGTGCTCCCAAACCCATCACCATGGGTTTCGTTTGGTGAGCAGCCCTGCCAACGATGGGAGGCCGTGGACAGCAAAAACCGACTCACTGTCTTTGTGCTGCTTGGCACATGTCATTGATCTTTATCATAGCCCTCAAAAGCCTGCTTCGTCTCTCCCTGTGTATAGGTTATATGATACCTTTGAGCTATCTGGCCTCTGTACCTCTTCCACTTCTTCCATGTCTGCCTCGAGACGACGAGCCAGGGCTGCGCACGGTGCTAACAGAGCAGGCGTGATGCTAACACCTGGGCTGGCATCACCATTTTTCTGCTTTTTCATTGCCCTTCTTATCACTTCTATTATTCCGTGTTAGAAAGTATTACGTACTTGTTTTCACAGTCGTTTGTTTAGCACCACATTTGCTTTCCTGAGAGGAAATGATCCGCTCAGAGCTCGTGACCACATACAAGACTTATGCCATGTTTTGGCCATGTGTGTCACTGCATGTGCTGCTCTGAACTTCACTTTGCCAGGAGAGCTTTCTGAGCGTCCTAAAGCATTCGGAAAACATCAGTTAAGCTTGAAAGTGCTAAGCAGAGGCAGACCAGTATTATCAACCCTGTAAACGAAGGCAGGGACACAGGATTAAAGTAACTTGTCTGAAGCCACCCGGGAAATCAGTGGCAGAGCTGGGAACAGACTGCCAAGTCCAAATCCCTCCTGCTCTAGCGCGCAGCCTCTCCCTCTAGTATACCAGTAGCTTGAGATAGAAACAGTGCTGCTGGGAAAAGGCCTGCCTGCTCCTGTATGTGTGTCAGCAGAGTGCAGGGACCCAACGAGGACCAAAACCCTCTCGTGCTTCTTTCTCCTCCAGCGCTTTGTAAAACATCTGTCCCTGCTTTTAAGATCCCTCCAGCCTTCCAAAGCATTCATTCCAGCTTGGGTACAGACACTCAGCCCAGCCTAGCAGTGATCCTAGGGAGCTCTCCCGGGGATGCACAGCGAGGTCCAGCCCAGAAAACAGCAAGCCTCTCTGCTTTCTGGAGCCTCACACCAACGAGGAAACCGGCTCAGGCCACAGCCAGCTGCCTGGCAAAACGCACCATGAACTCTGCCAGCAGCGCCGGGCCGGCTGTTACGGCTTGTCTGGGAAAGGACCAGTGAACGTTGCGTCACTGCGTATAGAGCATGCAAGCTCTACGTCTTGGAAATAGTAAGTGTGACCTTATTTAGGTTTAGCATATTTGCTTAAAATCTTTAAAATTACTTTTGAAAATTTATTACTTATTTTAAAGCAAAGCTTTAAAGAGGCTGTAGAGGCAGCATCGGACAATCTACAGGAGTAAGTTCATATACAATAACAACATGAATGTGCAATTTCTGTTTGCAAGTTGTTTGCTTACATGGGAAGCCTGTCATGCCTTCCCTTGAACTGGCGATGTAGCAGCAGCGGTGTAAGGACATAAGAGCGGTGCTGCCTATGATGAGTCCGCTATTATTTAAGACTTGTCACTTTATATACAGTCTTACTATGCCTTCCCCTTTTTAAATACACACTGTTGGTTGTGAGGTGCAGAAAGACTTTTCTGCAAAGTGCAAGAATACAGTACAATGAATTTACTGGATTCACTTTTCTTCAAAAGGACCGGAACCATCTGGAGACTGAGAAACGTGGCAGTATCTCCAGTAAGAGATGGCTGGTTTAGAGCATTGTGGAAGACTCTCTTCATGCAAGGTATCTGTCCTAGCTTCCAAGATGCAGAGCATCACTACTCCTAGGAAAGCTGGTAATGGGGTTTCAATCCCCTGAAAAATCGAGCCTCACGTACTTAGATTTTTTTAAATGCATGTAATAACTAGAAAAGTAATTTCCTTTATTATAAGTAAAACTTACTGTTAGGTTGAATTAATCACAAGCACTGAGAATTCACTGGTGTACCTATGCAGGAGGTGGGTTTTCTTGTTGGGTTTTGTCCGTGTCCCCCCCCCATCATACATTGCTAAATGCCACCCTGGTAGCAGCCCAGTTGGGCAGCTGTATGTGTGTAAACACACACCGAATTCGCTATTGGATATTCTATCCTGGGCTAGTTTTACCTCTGTTATGTTGGAGGCTAGTTCCACTATAAACTGCAACGCAAACAGGAACTGCCTACGGTTTTTGCACGGGGCAGATGAGGAGTGCTGGTCCCACGTCACTTCCACAGCCACACCAAGATCACTCAAGCAAAAACATCTTTGTTTGTCAAGTCCCACTACAACAGGCTAGCAAAACACAGCAGGGCGCAGATCTCGGCTCATACTGGTGGTTACATGAGGACTGCAGTTCTGCTGACGTCAACAAAGAACGCTCACAGCACTACCTGCTTTCCCGTAGACTTTGGATGAAGTGGTTAAACGGAGAAGCGCTTCTCCCATCCTGCGCTGCTCAGTGAGCCAGGTCACAGTTCCAAATTTAGCAGCTAACAGTCACAGTGTACCTCACACGCTGCTGTGTCTCTTCATGAAGCTTCTAATTCATAAGATTTATTTTCTTTTATAGCCAGTATTGGATGAACCCCCGCAAAGTTACGGAAGAACCTATATCCAATTAAGTCCGCTTCCCAACTTAGAGGGAACTTTATATTGTTTTCCACTTGCACTTATTTAAAAGATGAAAGAAAACAACTAATTCCTTTTGGCATTCGTTAAGTAGGAGTTTGAGTGTGTTTATGATGTGCATTTTCTTTTCTGCTGATTGCTTAGAGCACTAAAAGGCATTTTGTATTTTCAGTAACTTTAAGATTTAAATCCTCCTATAGATTTTTTTTTTCCCAGAAGCCACGTAAAGCCCAGAGATGCAATAACTGTAATTCTTTCTCAAAGCTTTTTAAGAAGAACAACCCTCGAAGCAGCTATAGCCATAGGCAACACCAAACCCCCATCTTCTGTCAGCTCTGTCGTGTCTCAGCCCTACCATTCACAGCTGTCCCTGGAAGCGCAGGCACCTCCTCCGGACAGACCAGCTCCTCTATTTGTTCTTTCACATTTTCCAGAGCTCTGACTTGTTTCCTCCACTCTCTCTGAAAGCCCACATCAAGTTCCCTTACCGCGGTGAAAGCCGCAGGTGAGCCAGCCCTGGGCTGGCGCGCGCCAGCTGCAGAGCAGGGTGGCTCTTGCCAAAACCCCTGGTGCTGCTGCAGCAGCCGAGGGACGCCCACCACCGCGAGGCACGGTGGGTCACCTCCTCGATGGTGCCTGTGACCTACATAAGCACTGACTGAGAGTCACAGCCCTGGCGGCGCGTTGCTGTTCCCGGGCCCAAGAAGTGAGAGTGAAAAGCATTACCGAGTGCTAATTTCACTTTGCGGCCCTTGGGAGCAGGGAAGGCAGTAGAGCAGGAGTTGCTCATGGCAGAAATCCACATAAAGAGAGGGCGTGCGAGGGAAGAGGAGCCTCCTCTGCGAGGTGCTTCTGGGTGCCCGAGAAGCGAGGGGTGGAGAGCTCAGGAGCAGATGCTGGTGCGCAGGGAGGACACACGCTCCTGTGCAGGTCGTAAGCACAGCAGGGTCTGGGACATGGGGCTCTGCGAGCGCCGTGTTTTTGGGTCCGCCCATCTGAGCTAAGCAACTCGCAGGCGTGACAGCAGCAGCGTGGCATA